CCCGGCCCGGGCCCGCCCAGCCCGGTGTGCGGGCCTGGGCGGGCCTAAAAAAAATTTTTATAATCGCGGGCCGGGCCAGGCTGAAATTTTGAAAAAAATTTATATTAAAAATTTGCAGGCCGGGCCAAAATGGGCCGGGCTTGACAAAAAATTTTTAACTGCGGGCGGGCCCGGGCCGGCAAAAAATTTGTAACCCTAATTGCGGGCCGGGCCCGGGCCTTAAAATTAGGAATTTGCAGGCCTCTACTAGGAACTGACTGTGGATCACGTGAGCAGCGAGACGGAATCCCATATATTGTATTTCATAGTAATATTTGTTGTATGTGGGTCAAGTGACAAAAATAAAAAGCCTCCGACCTAAAATAATCGCTGGCATAGCCCAACGTAAAATAATTGTGTAATGCGATGCTTTTCGATTTGTATTAATAAATTTATTAGTGCAGTTTTAATTGATACGGATCTCTATGCTACGTAGCGTAACCATAGTTTCCAATATCACTATGCTTGTACGTAGGCTGAAACTGCACCTGTGTAATTTAGGATATTGTATAACCGCTGTAAATAAATAAAAAAACAGTATCGGTAAATTGTAATTGATACGTATCTATTTTTTTTAAAATGTCGAACGAAAATTTGACCGAGTTAGTCGATGGTTTCAATAAACTAAATTTCACTGATTGTCAAAAATCAGCCGATAAGAACGATCCAGACGGAATTTACAGGCTTGGATATTGTTACGAATATGGAATTGGAGTTGAAAAGGATGAAAACAAAATACACCACCGACTGGCGTCCCTTTTAGATAAGGATTATAAAAAAAAAAGAAACGAAAAAAAAGCATTCACGAATTACAAAAAATCGGCAGACATGAAAAATTCTAACGGAATGTATCAAGTTGGTTATTGTTATAATTTAGGAATTGGCGTCGAAATCGATAAGCATAAAGCGTTTACAAATTATCTAAAGTCTGCTGAAGCTGGTAATTCCAATGGAATTCAAAAAACTGCCTTTTGTTACGGTTATGGAATTGGCGTGAAGAAGGATGAGAATAAATTTCATGAATGGATTAGGAAGTAAGTCAATTTTTAATTTTTTTATTATTTATAATATTTTGTAATTTCTTTACTTGAAATTGAGATCTCTTATACAATTTTTAATTATTAGGGAGTAAGTATAAAATGCATTCATCAATTTATATCAGCGCTTTAAGTTCATAAATATTATTTATTGTTTTTTTTTTAGCCCGTAAGTATAAATAAAATTTTACTACATAAATAAATATTTACTTATTTACCATTATGTTTAAATTCATTTCATCCACATTAATTTAGTATGTGAGTATAAAGAACATTATTATTAATCAATGGAATTAAAAACAGCAAAACAAGTTCACAAACAAGATCATAAATACTTATTTACCATTATGTTTAAATTCATTTCATTCGCATTAATCATTTTATTCAGCTCGTGAGTAAAGAAGATTTATTAATCAATGGAAAAGCAAAACAAGATCATAAATACTTATTTACCATTACGTTTAAATTCATTTTATTCAGTAAGTGAGTATAAAGAACATTTATTAATCAATGGAATTAAACCAGAAAAACAAGTTCACAAAACAAGATCATAAATAAATACTTATTTACCATTACGTTTAATTTCATTTCATTTCATTCGTATTAATTTAGCCTGTGAGTGTAAAGAGCATTCATTAATCAATGGAATTAAAAACAGGAAAACAAGTTCACAAAACAAGATCATAAATAAATACTTATTTACCATTACGTTTAAATTCATTTCATTTTATTCATATTAATTTAGTCCGTGAGTATAAAAGTTTATTAATCAATGGAATTAAAACAGCAAAATAAGTTCACAAATCATGAACATAAATATTTATTTATCATTGCGTTTAAATTCATTTCATTCTCATTAATCATTTCATTCAGCTCGTGAGTATAAAGAACATTTATTAATTAAGACAGCAAAACAAGTCCACAAAACAAGATCATAAATAAATATTTATTTACCATACGTTTAAATTCATTTCATTTCATTCGCATTAATTTAGTCTGTGAGTATAAAGAGCATTCATTAATCAATGGAATTAAACCAGCAAAACAAGATCATAAATAAATACTTATTTACCATTACGTTTAAATTCATTTCATTTTATTCGTATTAATTTAGTCCGTGAGTATAAAGAACATTTATTAATCAATGGAATTAAAAACAAAATAGGTTCACTAACCATGAACATAAATACTTATTTACTATTAATTAATTTAGTCGGTAAGTATAAAATTATTTATATAAAGTTTAAATTTGCAGATGCGATATAAAACGTTATTATATATTATATAGAAAACCTGAATATGGTAAATGTGCTCATTGTAATGAAGATAACATGCGACCAGCATGGTGTCTATCATGCGACCCTGACATAGCAACAAGATGGACAAGTGGAAATAAAGATATTGATGATTGCATGAAAGAATTCCAACTTAGAGCCTGGAGTTATGAAGATGCGATTGAATGGATTCCATTTAATAAATTATCCGATATTAAAGAATTCGGTAAAGGTGGATTTGGTTCTGTATATTCAGCAACCTGGTTGGATGGCATACGAAAAGTTGATGGTGATTACAATTATGTAAGAACACGTGAATCATCCAGCATCGTTGCACTCAAGACTTTGTCTAGTTCTAAAGGAAACAATGATTTTTTAAAAGAAGTAAGTTAATTTATTGCTATGATAATTTTTCTAATAGTTTACTGAACTAATTCATTGCTTAAACTTTAAGTTTAAAAGCCTTATGACATGTAAATTAAATCATAGTAATCTCGCAATATATGGAATAACCCAAAACACAGTTACAAAAGATTACTTGATGGTCTTTCATTATGCTAATAATGGAAGTCTTCATAAATATTTAAGAAGTAATTTTAGTAAACTTACATGGCAGACTAAATTACAAATACTTAAAGACACTGCGGAAGAGTTAAATAGTATTCATGATTATGCAGGATACATTCATGCAAATTTTCATAGTGGTAACATTTTGCTAGACCAACGATCCTATATCGCGGATCTAAGATTGTCTAGAAAGGTAAATGAGAATGTTTCAGGAGACGAAATTTATGGAGTTATGCCCTATGTCGCTCCTGAAGTTTTATCAGGCAAGCAACAGTTTACACAGGCAGCAGATATTTATGGGTTTGGTGTTATTATGGCAGAAATGTCAACTGGTCAAAGACCTTTTGATGGTCAGGAATTTGATCATAAACTTGCATTCAAGATTTGTAGTAGAGGATTGCGACCAGAGTTTGCACCTGGAACTCCTAAATGCTATATTGAATTGGCTGAGGAATGCATGAATTCTGATCCACAAAAACGGCCTCGTGCTAGGGAGGTTCGTAATACAATATCGAGTTGGTTTAGGAAGATATCTAGTTCAAATGATAATGAAATTAAAAAGCAATTCTTGGATGATGATAAAGTTATTAAATCATTATCGATACCAAAGCATCCTGACGGAGTGTACACTAGCAAACTTATTAACACGAAATTAATTTCAAAGGCGATTAAAGGTATTTATTTATTTTTTACTAATATATTTATTTAAAACTAATATAATTTGTTTATTTAGATTTGTCACAAGTTGATTCTGCTCAAATCAAGCTTGATATTACTGAATTTTGAACATTTTGTTATGTATACAAACTAAGGAAACAGATACTATTAGTGTTCAAAGCTAAAATAGATATATTTATTATAAATAATATTATACCATATTTTAAAAACATCTGTTTGTTAAATTGGTCTTTTTGATTTGATTAAATAATAAATTACATTCTTAAAAATAATAATGCAAAAATTTGATTTAATATTTTTAAAGTTTATTAAATTTTTTTATTTAATTTACCGCTATATCGTTGTATCGCTATCTCCATGTCAAAATTCTGAAAGTAAAATTCCAGAAGTAAAATTCAATTTTGACGTCGCGTGATGTCGGAGTCCTAATATTCAAACACCGCTTATGATTAGTAATATATATTACTAGCCATGGGGTTTGGATATTGGAACACCAACGCACTCTAAATCGCTAAAAATTTCCTAAAGATTGAATTAAAAAATTTTCTAAATTTTATTAAATAAAATGTCTTTATTCAAAGTTTTAAATATTTAACTTAATAAAAGCTATGCTAAAATTATTTAAGCTTTTTTTTACCAACTCTGGACATTAAGCATTTACGTATATACCACAAGTGAAGAAGTAACCAATAAAAGCTTTTATTTGTTTGAGAATAATTTAGTCATAAGGTTATCGATGATATCATATATGCAATCATTTTTCTTTTTTTTAAAAAAAAACAATTGATTACTACATCTGTATGCCTATTTAAGACCCCTGGATATTTGCCAAGTGGTTGATTAATTCTTGATAGAATTCGATGCCTTCAATAAACAAATTCTCATTTAAACGTTCATCATGATCATGTAGCAAAATTGGAGTATTTTTGATGTAAGAAACACCTAATGCTGGAATTCCAATGCTACGTAGATAACGTGAGTCGGTAGCAGCAGGAAAAATTTCTGGTTCAATAGCAATATTACTATAAAATAGACGTATATTAACGCGATTGACTTATTGTAATAAATTGACAACAAAGAAATTGCCAACTTACCGTCCTTTACAGAAATCACGAAACACAACCCACCAAATATTACTTTCATCTAATGGCGTACAGCCCGCCTCTTCGTTATGTTGTACAAATTCCATTGTAGAACTATAAAAAATTGATAATATAGAATTAAAAAAAAAAAAAAACTTTTTAAAAAAATAGATGCATTAATATAAATCATAAAATTTTTACTCTGGCTCAGAAAGTATAAATCCTTCTATCATATTTTTAAATGCAGCCAAATTAACTTTTGGAGAGACTCTAATATCAAAACCAGCAGTGGCTTCTTCTGGAATAACATTATGTTGAACACCAGCCTATTATGTAATTTAATTTTATTTTATTTTGTAGAGACATTCTCAAGGTGGTTTTTTGCGGAATAGCAGAATTAAAAAACATTCTTACATTTAACATTGTAAGATTAACAGTAGTCACTTCTCCAAGTTTATATCTTGTTCCATTTGAATTTACACAAATATCCAATTGCTGTTCTTGGGATGTGCGAAATTCCATAAACCTGTTGATAATACGATTCTATAAAAATTTTTAAAATATTAATAGAAATAGTAAATTCACGAATTCACGAGAAAAGCATATATATATCTAATAACAAACCATTTTTGAAAGAGCGGTATCTTTGATGAATTGTGATCCGTGCCCAGTGTTCCCTTTTGTTTTAACATTAATCCACCAACATGTTCGTTCACCGTAAAAAACTCTCAAAGCATCATTAGGGTTTGCAATTCCTTCATCTAAAGCAAATCCAACATTTAACTTTTTAAAATCATTTGATTCAACGAAATGTTTCATTCCATCTTCACCACCAATTTCTTCATCTAATTTGATAAATTTAATTAAAATACGAAAGTTCTTTTATTTCACGTCAAAATATTAAATTTTTAGCGAATTATACCAGGAACAAAAGAAAGATGAATTGTTCGACATGGTTGTTTATCTTGATTCTTAAGACATCTAATAGCTTCAAGATAACTTGCACCAACGCATTTCATGTCCTGAGAACCTCTAGCAACAATATCACCATTGTCAAGTTTACAAGCATCAAATGGGTTACAACTCCATTTTTCCTAATATAATTGTAAAAAATCAATGACTTAAGGTATATTAAATTGATGAATATTAATATTTTTCTTACCTCGAAAACAGGAACGACGTCTGTATGAGAATTTAAAAGTAATGAAGGAAGGTTCGGATCACGACCTTCCCATGTCAATAATACTACCGGTTTTCCTTTTACATACTTTTATAAAACAGAATGAATATTAAAATTAAATAATAAAAAGGGGCTTTCATGATTGTATAATTTCTACCTCGAAAACGTTAGCTTTTAAACCTATTTCTTTTGCTTGCTCCAATAAGAATCGAGTGCAAGACTCATAATCAGGGTTTGGTTGAACAGTCTTAATACGCAAGTATTGCCTAAAACGTGTTACCGCTGGGTTTTCCATCTTTTCGTGTGTGCTTTTCGCATATAAAGACCGTGCTTTAAAATAGACGTCTTGCGGGTTGAATAAATTAATTGTTACACCATTTTATGCATATTTGTGATGTTGATGTTTCTTCTTGGTTCGATTATCGTTATCATAATTAATCAATTGCCATCTAAATCAATTGATCACGGGATCACATTAATACAGTCCACCTGTTAAAACCGATAACCCGGTAAAAAATCGATCCATCAAGCTTGTCCCATAATTAATTTCCAATAACAGTATATATTCTTTTGATTCCTGATTTTTTTAAATAAGACATGTGTCTATTCCGGGTTCATTTGGACCTACTTCGGGTTCAAATAAACCCTCAGATGAACTCATTCCGAATTCATTTAACCCAACCCGAGTTTAAAATAAACCTCACTTTGGTTCATTTTGAACCTATTTTGGGTTTAGATGAATCCAATCCGGGTACAAATTTGCAATTTAATCGGTCCATTTATAACGATAATAGCCAATCATTCTGATATGATATTTCTCAAATCTGATAACCTTTTAAAATCGGTTGTCCATTATGCATACCGGGTTTGACAGGATTGACTGTATAGGAAATATCGGAAAATTTTTTAGGAAAACGAGTAATTAAAGTCGATAAATTTATGTCTATATACTACAAAAAATTTTACGTGAGAAACCAGAGAGAGATAAAAAACCATGTGATTTTTAAGTTTAATTTGACCAAATCAGAATGTAAATCGAAATTTATCGAAGTACAGAATATGATATTTCAGGATATGAATTTTTTTTTTTATTTAAAAATTAATTTTTATGCACTAAATATATATTTAAAACAATCCACAAGTTAATAAATATTTACTATCTAACTTCATTTTATTCGTACTACCTAATTTATCTTTACTATCCTAAGTAGAGGTTGGATCCTTTGAATATCCATCATGGCTATTCAGCAAATATTTGCGGGGTTTGATGTTTATGAATAACATTGAATGAATATCCATATTTGAATAAATACCCATCTATTATTGTAACTATAAATATTCAAGAATTATGTGTAACCAAATATTGAATATTCAATGAATATTCATGGATCCAATCTTAATGGGTCAAAGTATGTCGAAAATTTGTCGTGAATTAAATTTTAAATAACCGATCAATCGAGCTTGTCATTAAGATAAGAATATATGAAAGAAAAAAAGTTTAAATAATAAAATATGATTAGAGTTTATCATTTCAGTCAAAAAACTTTTTGTCCCGAACCTTCTTTTTTTTTGCGCTGACTTATCAAAAATTTATAAAAATTAAAGCGAATAAAGTATTGCTAAGTGTTTTCATACTTTTATTATGAATTTTCATTATCGACAAAATCCTCTCAAGCAGTGATTTGAGATCTTTATTTGATCTATTGTTGAAGTTGAATCACTACGTCATAACCATTTCGATCACTATGAAATCGCATCTAGGTTGATGCTTGAGAACGCCCTATGAAATATTAAAACTATACTCATAAATTTGTCCCTTGAATTTCTCGATTGGAAAACCATAACTTCAATTATGTATTATAGACTTCAAAATAACATTTTATTCCTTTTGGCATTTCAATTGGTAGAACGATAAAGTCAGAGAGTTATCCATTTCGATGAACAAATCAGCGAGACAAAGCATCTTTTTTTTCATTGATAAAGGGGTGTTCAGCATAACTTTACATTCTTTACATGATATATCAATATAATATGTAAACAATAAATTAACAATTTCTACTTGACCCCCAAAAAAAATAACTTTATTTTTTAATGCTAGAAGTTTAAACACATCTTTTAACATTTAACCAAACCGTAATGAATACTGCTATTCCATTGTTCGCTCATCCAAACTTAAAAGTTTCTCATCAAAGAAGGCCCAAGACTGAAGGATTTGAGTAGATGTTTTCACATATTTAACGGATAATTAAGGTCATAACTCTTTTCAAAAACATTTTCGTATTACCCACAAGCACCTAATTCTATAAATATTGTCATCAGTTGTGTTGTCTGAGCTAGTATTTGCAGTCGACATAAATTTATCAACTCAACTAAGCTGATATTTAAAAAATTAAGCAAGTCGACTAAGGGTGTTCTCAAGCATCAACCTAGATGCGATTTCGTAGTGATCGAAATATGTTCAAACACTATTATTACTGTGGTTTTCTATGATGCTCCATAGACCAAAATAAAAAATCTCAATCAATGTTTGAGAGGATTCTAAAATAGTTTATCGAAAAATTTTACAAAAAATGGAAATCCATAAAAAAAGTATGAAAACACTTGAGCAATACTTTAATATTTATAAAGGTTTTGATAAGTCAACGCAAAAAAAAAAGTGGTTCGGGCAAAAAGTTTTTTGACTGAAATGATAAACTCACTAATTATTTTTTATTATTTAATATTTTTTCTTTCACCTTACTTATCTTAATGACAAGCTCGATTGATTGATTCCGTTATTTAAATTTTAATTTCCGACACATTTTCGACATACTTTGACCCATTAATTGAGGCGCTTGAGAACGCCTATAGTTACAATATTCTTAGGATTTTTATTTGTATATATACTGTACAATAATGTATATATGTAATTCGGACCGCTTTTATTAACAACGGTATTTGGACTTGGGTACTAACTAAGTCTTATGGCTAAAAAATCCTATTGATTATCTCATGAACTAGTTAATGGTTGGCTTGGCTCATGAACTAGTTAATGGCTTTAGCTAGCTTAAATTATAGCTTAAGCAATTCAACTTTAAATAATGAAATCAACTATTATATATATGTCGTACATCAGGTTGATTCCGAACAAATATAAATTCTAAAATGTGTTGGAGTCATTAAATAATTCCAATTCAAAATTATGTGTATTCCAAATTATTCATCAAGTAAGTACGTTGTTTTGGAATTTAAGTCGCTTTTGTGCATTGTAAAAAATCAATTAAATTTAAAAACATTGCACAAAGTTTTTTCATCTATGATTAGTGGGATACCAGCTATTCCACGTTCATTTTTTTATATTTACAGTGATTTTTGTCATGCAATTTTTTTCATTTAAAGTGATTTTTGTCTCATGCATTAGGGGTTTCAGAATTAACTTTTTTTCAAAATAAGTGAGAGAATTCCGAATCAAAAATTAAATAGGCATAGTCGGTGATAAAATTAGCTTTTTTTTTTGATAAACATTCATCGGTAAACGATTATGTAAATAAGTACATACTTTGAAAAAAATAGAATTTGTACGTTGCTTACTTTGAAATAAATACGTCACTTATTTTATCTGAAATCGGACGCCAAATCATTAATTCCGAAAACCCCTATTTTTGCAATTACATTTAATAATATCTATTTGTGAAGAGAATTGCATAATAGACGTTTTTTGAATGCTTATGAGCATTGAAGGAATACTATTCAACTCTGGAAACTTGTCAAGACCCAATGAACACAAGTAAGTTTTAATAATTATACTTAATAATATCACGTATTGCAAATGAAATTATCTTTCGCATTCCTGATTATTGTATTTGTGAATTTTGTAAACTTTAATACAAAAATAAAAGTCTCAAGTGTTATAAAGGTATTTATGTTGTCTATTTGCCGGCTCGTTACTAAAATATTTGGAAAGTAATTCTTTGAATACATTACAGAGTAAAAACAGATAATCTTGACATTCGATCATCAGATAGAGAGAGTTGCAAAGAATAAAAAAGTGAAATAAAAAGAAATAATAAAAGATTTGTATTTTATCTTGATAATTAAATTTATCATCTTAATCAATTATATAGTATCATATTTGAATTGCTTTTAAATTTCTAGACTACATTTGGAATTCCGTTCTAACCTAAGTGGTCTAAATTAACAATAATTCCATTCTGACGTACGACATATATATAAAAATGACAGAATGATAGTCCAAAGTCTTATTTTCTCTTGACAGCACTTATATCTTCTCATAAAATAGATTATTTGGTATATGTGTATAGTATATAATCATTGATTTATTCTTACTAAATAACAGATAATTGTATTATACAGTATTTATGTACGTACAGAAAAAAAGTGTCGGTCCCGTGATCTCAGATCGCATCTGCTCAAATTATCAATCAAATCTAAAAATGCAATTACAGTAATTTAATTTCTAACGATACCCGATAAATAATTTCTAGTAAATTAAATATATGATTAATTTTGCGCAATAACTAAAAGCCAATGATTTCAGCCGTGATTATTTTAACTTTGTTAGGCTTGGCTTAAATCTATGGCTAAAGCTGGCTTTTTGTAAAGCCAATAATATCCACTATTTATTAGGCATCGTTTCCACGTGATTCTACACCCCTTTATACGGTCCTTGGAATGGGTTACACTCACTGACCTTTACTTTAAGCTTCTGTTTACCGTTTTTCAGTTGGGTGAAGTTTAGGGCTTTCGATATCATGGAAAAGTGGATTCGTCTACCAACTATAGCTCAGCTTCTTAGGGTTTCGTCTTTCAGCAGGGTTTCTTCTTATCGTCACTTGACATTACGTAAAATAGCTTCGCGTAATAATTACAAGCAAGACTACGGCATTATTCAAAAGGCAATCCCAAATGACTCCACCTATTTCAAAACATTAGAAGTAGGTGATGATTCGTGAGTATAATTTTATATCTCCAATGTGCGTTGTTCATAAATTAATATACTAATTATTTACTAAAATCATTTTAGCAAAGTACCTGCATTCGATATTGATTTGGGTCAATTGCGTAGCAATTATTTAAAGTTTCAACAACGTGTTCATCCTGACAGGTATGGCAACAAAGACGAAGCAAGTATCACTATCGAATTATTTAACAAAATTTATTTTTTCTCTTCATTGAGTCTTTACAAAAAGATGCCAATTTTCGTCTTCAATAGTCATGTCAACCATTTTGTAGCAAGTATATAAACACGCCCAGCAGTACTCATCTTTGATTAACAAAGCATACCAAACATTACGTGATCCTCTTTCCAGAGCTAAATACATAGTAATTCAATTTCTTTTTCCTCATGTTCTTGTGATTCGCATATATATATCGATTTTAACAAACTTATTTACATTTGACAAATGAACAAGCTTCAATTAAACAACGTTTCAATTAATGAATCGGAATCGTTGGATGATCCTGAATTATTGATGAAAATACTAGATGCAAGAGAACGTCTAGAAGAAGCTACTGATGAAAATGAGGCAAAAAACATTAAGGATGAAAGTGAAGGTAAGGGTTGTAATATTCAATATACATCTTATATCAATAAAACCAACTCAAACTTCACATTACCTTACAGTGAGAATCAATGAAATTATATCCAACCTTTCGCAGGCATTTAAATTTAACGATTTAGTTCAGGCGAAAGAATTGACAATAAAGCTTCAATATTGGTATAACATACGAGAAGCTGCTATTGGATGGGAGCAAGGAAAACCGATCGAGATTCATCATTAAATAAATTTTCTTTTTTTTTTCATTTCGAATTTTATTAATAATATTCATTATTGACAACATTTAATAAACATTATATATTTTTAAATATATAATCTATTGTTAATACCTTATTTATATTTAATACCTTATTTATATTTGTATTTCTATACTTTTATTTTGCTTGGCTTTCTTAACATCGTCATTAATCTTTTCTTTTACACTGTTCTTTTTGTTGTCAATTTTTTCTACAGATGACAATTTTTTGGATTTATTTTTCTTGGAGTTTTTATCCTGACTTTTAGATTTGTCTTTCATTTTTTTTTCAACTTTATCAGATAAACTAAGTTCATTCAATGTGTGATCATAAAATTTTAATATATTTTTTTCATAAGGATGATTATCATCTGGAAATATGAATAATCGATTCAATCGTCTATAACGTAAACGATTTTTTGGAAGCATTCCCGAAACTGCTTTTCTGATAATCTTTTTTAAATAACGAAAAATACAACCATGATTAAAAATAAATAACCTTACTTATGTAGAAAATTAATATGAACGTAAAATTTACCTCGTCAGGTTTTTTTTCTAACATATCCTTGTAGGGAATTGTTTTTAGGCCTCCAGGATATCCACTATGATGACGATATAATTTTTGTTCGGCTTTCTTACCAGTTACTGCAACTTCTTTTGAATTTATGACTACTACATAGTCACCACAATCGGCTATAGTAAAATGTTGCCCATGTTAACTAGACCAAGATAGTAAAAATATTATATTAGAGTGAAAAAAAAATAATATTAATTCAGGATACATACAAGCAGGGTCATAAATAGGTTTATGCTTTCCCATTAAGGTGGTTGCAATGTTAGCAGCCATACGACCTAATATACGTTGTTTTGCGTCTACTAAATGCCATGTTCGCACATATGCTAATGCGGTCTTTAATTGATAAAATCGTAAGATTTATAATTTTAATGAATTTATGAGTAAAATGTTGCGTTACTATATGAATAATTACGTTGCCAATGGCCTGAGACATGTTCTTTTAATCACCAGGGAGGATGTAAAAAGTTTTTATCGTTATTGTTATCTAAGTTGATAATCTACTTTATATTTTTCACATGTGCCAATTATCTGATTTTTTTGAAATAACAGATAATAGCAATTTGATTAATTTGATTGGATCCGCACACATAAAAAATAAACATTATCTAAATAACGATAAAATTTTTGTTTCAAGATTTAACCGCGAAAATAGTTTAATCGAGCAACCAAAATTCATTATAGGGATGTTATTAGCTTTACAAAAAGCCAATTTTAACCATTAGATAAGCCAAGCCTAACAAAACTAACTGCTTTAAATCACGGCTTAAGGATTGCTCCGATAAGGACCGATGAAAAAAAATCATTGGCCGGGGTCGATCCTCGGGCCGGTTGACCAGACCGACAGTACAATTTTTCTGTTCGTATCTAGATCAAACGTATAATAGTAGTTCCTTGCCAAATCTTAATAAGTTAGCCCATAGTAAGAATACCAAATATAATGAAAAAAAACTTCTATTTTATACTTTAGTATATGTTATATTTCAAAGATCTGTCATAATGACTTTCTTAACAAAATTGTTTAAACAACTTCTACATGTCATACGTAGGAACGAAATTACTGTAGATTTAGAATCCACGCGATTCCATATTTGGCACTATATAATCAATAAATTTAATAGCAACTGGATTTTAAATTCGATTTAATTAATTTGCAACGCACTGTGTTATGAAAAATTCACATCTTAAAGTGATCTAAATTAGTGCTTCGATCCGCAATCCGGATTAAATGTGGGTATCCTTATGTCAAGCAAACTTCGGGCTTAAGATCATTTCCGGCCTAAAAATTTTGGGTCGTAGTATATCAAAAATTTCTTATATATTTAGTATATA